CTTGTTTTTCTTCCTTTCTTAGTTTCAGGGGATGCCTATTTCGACTATCCGCACAGGGTACGAACTACGTTCCTCATGAAACATTTTAACCTTTACACTAGACATGGACACACTTGCGGGGTCCTCGGTAAGTTGTCAGCCGGCTCACAAGGCCTTCCGCGACAACTCTCACACGAAAAACAAAGGACAAACATTGCACATGGCAGGACTCAAACCAGTGACCCTTCAGACCGAGGCGCTGGGTCTAGCCACCTCAACGATCCAGGTCGGCGAATTTTAACCTCTATTAATACTTTCAAACACTTGATGTTTTCAAGTTCTAATTTTAAAAGGACTCGCAGGGCAGAATACCACAAACGCAAATGAAGGCCTAAGCATAATAGCGATCTAACCTCCAAATGATAAAAAATGAGTTACTGACACCATTTGTTATCTACGAATGGTAACTATCTTTGTATATTGTTGGTTTGACCGGTTTTCTTCTATAAAGTTAAGAACGAAGTCACTAGTTTTTCTCTTTATAACTCTTTTTAACCGCAATTATGAAACATTAACTTGATATATCACCGTTTGCATAAAATGTGCCTTAGACCAATATTGCGCTGACTTGTTTAATTACCATGTACGTAAATGTGAAAGAAAACGATTCGTCAAAATCAGAAAGAGGATTTTTTTAAGCATGTCCACAGACTGAAATTTGAATTTTTATAATATAGTAAATATATTTAGCAATAAATGAAACTGATTTTCATAATTTTTATACAAATATTTACAAATTAATAAACTTCGTTCGAAAAACTAAACAAAAAGATTGTTATTATTTTTCTTAAAACATATATTACAAAAGAGTACTTCGTTTTTGGTTGTTTTTTGTTAATGGGACATTCTTGTAATTCCGCACTTTTGAATAAAAAGTGAGAAGACGAATCTTTGCACTACTTTATCACCATCTATTTTTCAAATCTCACGTTTGTTCCAAATCTCTTTATTTTTTGCCTTGGAACCATGTTTTTCTTACAATATTGACATTCATATATTTATATTAAATGTTTGAAAAAATAGTAGGTTGAATGATATCGTAACTCAGATAATAAATAATGTAATTTAAATTATGAAAACTATTGCGAAATTCAACAAAACCTTCAAAATTTAGACTTGTCGGCATTATTTCTCAATAAATATTTATATCTTGCTAAAGTAATCGAACGTTGTCCTGATATTTTATAACCACAACCAAATATTATTATAGGTAATAAGCAAGTTGCAAGAGAAATTTCCAATAAATTCTTGTTTTGGGTTACCACAATGGAATTTTCTGAACATTTCCAATGCACGAGTGGTATTTAATAAGATTATTTCACGGATGAAATTACCTTCAAGATAGTTTCAGAATGGGCAAAATATTATTAAATTGTATTCAAGCTCCACGTGCACTTGACAGCGTTTCTACGATTGATGTATCGCGTCATGTGATTAGGCGACAGGGTGATGGTGGTAAGAGAAAGCGATATTTTTTGGGAATACACCCACATGATTGGTGCGCACCCGATGTATAGTTCATCGCTATTAGTGATAAATTCACGAGTGGAATAGTCACAATATACCATTTCCTTATTTATTTCTTCTTTAGCTCCGCCCCTTCTTTACCCCCCTTCATCTCCTTTTGCTCCTTCTGCTTCTTCCGCCTCCGCCCGCTCCTTCCGTCCTCCCGCTTCTTCTGCTCTATCATCTCCTTCCGCTCCACCCAGTTTCACCCTCTAAACCCTCCTTATCCGGTCCCTGATCTGCATCGTTTTTCCCCATCACTAGGCACTGCCGCCTGGATGCGAATTGTATTGAACTAAATTTTGTAAACTCACACATATTTCGCTTCATTGTAATGGTTCAAATGTTTTTGTGGGGCAAATATGTAAGTAGAAAAATTCTGAAACACCCTAACAATTGGTTACTTCGCAACTATCTTTGTTGGTCCGAAAATACCCTGCATATGGAGCTTTCTTTTTTCTGTTTTGTTATGTGCTGACAAGGTTTGTGAGCACGACATAGAGTGCGACACACCCTTTCGTGGTTTTAGTCTTCTCATTTTCTCCACAGTCGTACACAATGTTAATCTGTCTGGACTTCCCAACTCTCTCGTTGATATTTAATGGATAGGTTTTTTTCAGTCTCTTATCTTCTTCTTCTACACCTCAAGGATTAGGCTTACGCCTGTTTCGTGTCGTCCTTTATGATTTCACTTTTAGATACTGTACCGTCCTCAACACCAAACAGGGCCACTTTGGTTTCAGAAGTACCAACTGAACCACTCCCAACAAGTTGCCCATGGTTCAATTTTAATAGCTCAGTCTTGCTTTACTCACAATTACATAAATAACTATCAAAAGTGACTGAAGCTTGATGTAAGTTGACGTGCTGGAGAGGTGTAGGAAGCAATAGTCAAATATGATAGCGGTAGTAACGAATTTCGCTACAATAAACAATTGAATTCAGGCATATGTTTTACGTTTTTTTTAAATTTTTGGTTCAGCCCCTGTTCATACATACATTTATTGTCAGAATTATATAATAGATTAACATTATTTCAATAACTCAGTAGGTTGAAGCTTCGAAAACAGATGAGCAGTTGAGCTTATAAGATTAGTAATTACTTAGTGAATTAAAAAAATATAATTAGTCCCACATTTATAAGCGAGAAATGGTTTTATTGCCACGATTAAGAAAATATTACCTTTATGTTATGACATCCTAAAAAAATTGAATATATACAATAAGGCACGAATTTACCTATAAGATAATTCATATTTAACTCTTTCAACATTTGCATTCTCAAATTAATTCTCATTTTTTATCCCTCTTCAGCGATTTAATGTATGGGCCCTTCACAGAAAGGTCTAGACCAGTGTTTTTGTTTCACATATGCTTAAGTAGAATACTTTTCAGACATTTTTATAAGTGTTGGTGAAAATCTTAATTTCACATTTACTGATAAAGACATGTTTCAGTTATAATTGCTCTTATTCGGCTATTTCATTGTTGTTTTTTTGCATAAATCCTTCCTGAATTCCCAAAGCACTATGTCTTATTTCGTTTTAAACCAACTCTATTAAGATTAATTATTTTCATACTTTTATTACGTGAATTCTAGAACGTGTGAAACTTAATATCTACTTCAAAGAATGTTTTGTTTGTATCTGTATGTGGGAATGAATATTCTAGCACGTGCGCTAATTTTGACAATGCATCTACCAAAACATTTTAATGCCCCATTTAAGCACAAATAGCGAAGCTATTCCAAAGAATAGTTAAGAAAGGCAGAAAAGAAATACCTTATGAAAGAAAAGAGAAAGGTAAATGTATAAGAGAGAGGCCGGAAATGCGATATAAAGTGGATTTTACATCTCGACATTTCCTGTGGGATGTTGGTCTTCGGTCAAGGCCAGGCCACTGCTTTGAGAAGGTCAGTGTTCTTCCTGGGTAATTCATTGAAGAACAGAAACCGGAAGTATTAATGTAACTATCTGGTCTATTGAGAAATTTACCGAGCTGTAAGTTAAAAACCGCCATTTAAGATACTATATTTAATACCCTATTTACGAAACATGTTCGAAATATTAAAATTAGTTTAAACATTTTGCCTGTTGTAATATCTCGTAACACTTTCTATGTATCCTTAAGATAAATTCAGTAAACTTTCGTTAACACAAATTCAAAGAGACCGAAATAATCGGTGATCATGTTATATAAATCAGATATCCCAACAGCTAAGTTTATCTCAGTGCCACTGCCTTTGCAGCTGTCCTGCTCTGGCCGGAGGATACTGGCGTTACAGTCCTGTTGAACTTTTAATACCAGTACATAGCTAGGTCGAGTTCAGCCGCTGACTAGAGAATTCTAGCGGTCGGCAGCTCTGATCGGTAGTTTTCCGTGATTTATCCGTTCAATATCCGGCGAATAACCTAAGCAATAGCCTTAAGCGATCTTGCGATCTTTTCTTCCTCTTTTTTATCCTATTCTCTCTCCATATTCACTCATAAACGTCCATAAACTACACAATCACTCATGTCATGAGATCGAACGTTGCCTGGATGACGCGATACCTCATCGAGTCCTCCGCACAGCGGCAACATGTTGGTTGGTGCCGGACATCTCAATCTAGCGAGAAGAGAACCTCTCCACCCTGAAGTAAAACATTCTCTGCTCATACGTAACTAATTACCATAGCTGTTGAAGTGCCCAGAAATCAACACCTCCCCCTCCCATTTCCACTTCCTGCGTTAAGTATTTTACTACAACTACGACTTCATTTTTATATTTTTTTTCCAAACGCCATAAATGCTTTTTTACGAATAAAATTGCACCAAAAGTCATTGTTATCAAATACTACGCCTAAAAACATGGTAAAAGTCAATAACAAATACTTAAATATTATTGCAGAAATTTCATTCATCATTTGATTCATCATATCAAAGTGACATTTGTTAATTAAAATCCAATTTACATGAAATTGTGTAACGAAAAAAGGTAAAAGCAGTGAGTATTTAATTGTCTTTGAACGGATTAACTTTAATTGCACAGATAATTGTACAAAATATTTTATAATCAGAAGAAAATCATACACAGATCAAATTATAGGAAGTTAGGAAGAACACAAATCATCGTAAAAAGGTAAGAAGCAATAGTAACTATGAAAGTTTCACAACTACTGTATGCAAAATTTCCAAGATGACAAAAAAGTCTTGCGTTTGAATCGCGCTTCGTCTTGAACACACAACATTTAAACAGAATTAGTACTGTAATACAAATATTTCGAAAACATTTATCTATGCAGGAAATAAGATTGTTGTAGAACTAATCACTCTCCCAACCTTTCTATTTAAGGGTGAATTCATTTTGTTGAACTAAGTTTATTACATAGAGTTGCATGACCAATTCTGTCGTTTTTCATAATGACATTTTAATAATATAAATATTTATAATATTAAATCCACGCGTTTTCTTACCTTTCTTCACATGGTAACACACGTCCCGCACGCAAACTTCCCAGCGAGTTGAACTGCACATGGAATTGAAGAAACACCATTATAATTATGTTTTTCTCTCCACATCTTTTTTTTATTAAATAAGGTATTTATTAATCTTTACAATATAATTTTGTTTTCGACCTAAAACAGTAAACAGTTGTTTGAATCAGTGCCTGCGTTTGTTCTTAACGGAGTCCAAGCGGCAGAGAAATGGCCGAGCAGTGTGTTCTCCAACACAATGTGCGCAAAGGTTCCGTTAGAAAGGTCGTGCAGCGCTGGGGGGCGTGCTGATCGGTTAGCCGCAGGGAGCTTGATTGTCTTGCTATAAACACTGGTTACTGTCACGAAGAAGGTCGCTCATAAAAATCTCCTGGCATTCGGCTCCGTTCTTTGTAGTGCGAGAGAGCACAGGAAGTGACTCACTGTTACGAAATCGAATCCAGATGTTCATAGGCAACTGAGCACGCTGCTCCCTTTCTCGACATAATGTGCGGATTCAAGGACGTCGTCGCGTTACAGAATTTCTAGATCATATCTTTAATTGGATATGAACTCCAATAAAATAACTCATCCTCAGGAAACGACTTTGTGTGTTTGTGGAAAGAATGTTTCGCAAACAACTCAGAAATGCAAATTTAAGGATTATGAAAACTTCTTTTAAAAATTGACACGAAATTTATTATTAATTGACTGAAGTGTGTATATCGCAACTTAACTTACTTTTATTCCAACACACACCATATTTTCACCACGCACTACGATGTGTTTAGAGGATAAAAATTTTCCGTAATTAGTTAAGAAATCTTGATGAAATAAAATATGTTTTCTGAGAAATATTGATTATCATTTTTACTTCACAAACTATTAGCTTCTCCTTCGTATACGAAAAATTTAATCAAGTGTTTCGAAATGTCTTTTTTCCTTCTGCGTGAAGATGTGAGTACTGCTTTTACGTATGTTCTGTGGTGTGTGCCGAGGTAGCATCTAGTAGTAATCTCCCTAATATTTAATTTACCATATCCTGGTTTCTCTCGATAATATCTTGGAGGGAAAGTTCTCCAAGTTCCTCACATCACCCCCTTCATTACACCATCAGTTTCAGGAAAGAAATATAAATGCGCATGCAAGTTTCCAAGCTCACCAAATAAGTCATCGAAGCTCTTCCGTTTACTGTGTAAATTCTTATGTGGTGTTGATGTAATTAAATGATCAAGTAGTGGAAGTCATGTTAACTGGACGCAGATTGCTTCCATTACTTCATCTTCCTAATATTTTTAACTATCACCATGCATTTCAGGCCTTTATGGTTTCTTAGGAAATTATTAATCACACTTTTTTAATTGACATCCAAACACTTTTGTCACAATATGTTATCGTAGCCGTAAATTCGTCATATAACATTAGTCTCCTGGTGTTTGGTTCAACGCAAATTTCTTTATTGGGTTGATTTCCTGAAAGGTTTGAACACTTCACAGAGATATGTAGAGAATATCCTGGTTTTTAGTACTGTTTTAGAAAAATGTTTCGTAAGTCATAATTTCATAAGCAATTGTGGGATAAGTATTTTCTGTGCATCAACAAGATCTATTCTCAACATGTTTTTCATTCCTAGTTCAAAAGTAGCTTGTGAGGGGAGGGATTGTAATTGGTTCCAGTGTTGCATTCACACATGGCATTCTCATTCACAAATGCGCCCTGGAAACGTCGTGTAAAGTTCTCTCCAAGAGAAGTGCACAAAACCGTTAGGTCCCAGTCGTTATTTTGCTGAATTGTGTAGGAATTAGTTCAATATTCTCGTACGTTTTTTTAGTACCCAACAAATACTTAAGCGTACTCGTTACATTGTGCACGAATACGCTTCTATACTTATTTTGGTAGGCAGATTGATTCCGGGCACACCAGCTACTGCTGCAACTTCTTTTGTCCTGTAAGTGTAGTGAATACTTCATCCCGGGAAGTGGCAGTGTTCCTCCCCCACTGGATGGTGAGATCTGGTGTGGATCTACTCATCGACTTGCACGAGATTTCCTCCTTTAGGTTACTCCCTCTCAGCGGGACACCGGCCCAACCGTGATACGTTTGCGGCTCCCGACTGGTCTGCTAACATGTGTGGTCGTGAGGCGCATGTTAAGTGTGTAAGGGTAGAAGGTAAGTTATGGAGGGGGAAGAGACAAATCGTGATCGGACCGTGGCTCTTTCTGATGAACCATAAAAAAGTTCGTCACTGTTCCAATTTGTAAATTTTTGTTTTAACCCGGGGGTATTATTGAAGCATAGTGCGTCATCTTCCTGTAAAAAGTAACATGTAAATTCCTCAGCTTCAATACAGATAAATAGTGTTTTCCGCTGCCAATAAATTATATTCTTCCAACCTGGAGTTCAAGAGTTCCGCTTTCTCTTTCCTTAGACCAATGTATCTTATTAAATCGCTCGTTATTGCGAATGGACAGTTCGAGGCTACGACTTGCATCCATATGAAACACATCATTTTCGTGGTCTGTACATGAAATAGACAGGAGTAAGTTCTGAATACTCGTGTGGTTCAGGAATAGGAATATGTGTTCCCTCAGCAACAGGACGTTATGCTGATGGAAAATGTGGATTCACAATAACTTTCATAGTTTTCATATTATAATTCTTAGCCACATAGCAGTAAAAATAAGTCACTATTTTGCCCCCTCCGTGTTATTGTGACTCCAAATACAAAGATTTTCGTTTTTGATTTCGGCCAAAATCTTAAATCTTCAGAGATATAGGACTAAACCAGCGCTCTACATCGAAAATCGAATGCCGACTGCTACTATTCAAATCAAGGATCCTTCCTACTATAACTTACGGATGCCCAAATCTGAGATGGGGCAGATACTAGCAAACTAAACAAAATTAAAGTAATCCAAAAAAAAATACTCTCAATGCCTCTTGATTCATTTAAATTGAATAAATTCATTGAGAATTAAAAAACTCCAAACTAGAAGAAATCATAAATAAATTAGAAAACAATTGGCATACGTATTCAAGTACCATCATGGGAAAAAGTACAATATATTCACATATAAATTCTAGATTTCCCATAAGTAGATTCAAATCTCCGTAAACCATGACACCCTCAGCTCCTTAACATAAACGTGTACATCCCTCTTCTTAATTAATTAAATTTAATCAACAAATAAGTCAGACTTCAAACTGCTCATTCCTTTTGGATGTCCAATATAAAATCATTTACTAATCTTATGTATTATTAAAACTCTTGAAAGTCAGGAACAAGAAATTTGTTTTAAAAATTGATGTATATAAGACATATTAATGTGTCCGTGTTTTTTTTTCGACCTCTAAGGTTCACTCCAAAACAAGGACGACACACACTTTTAACAAACTCTGAACATTTCTTTCTAGTAAGGTCATCATGAATACACAAAATATTGTCTGGAACATTCACACAACTTCTCTCTGGAAATGAATTTTACGTCATTGGCACGTAAGGCACAAAGCAAATAGAATGCACTACAAAATACCTACTAGAAACTGCTAACAATGACGGTACAGTGTTTAGTGAAGAGGAGGTTATAAAATCTTCTGTAAACATCCATTTAATTTGCGTATTTGGCTGCAAATGTGCCTATGTTCACAGATCATCGGGGAACTGTACGTATGCTAAATTGATAAGGAACTACTATACTATAAATGTAAATTTGTGAACGAATCTCGTGTAATGTCCATTTGCGCCGTTGGAGCATTTCTATTTACATTTTTATTTCAACGCACAAATTTATGACACATTTGAACTTTTCAAGAAAGTTTTTTCATCCCAAGTCTGTGTAATAAGTTAAAACAAGGCACAAACAATTCACTGATTGTAGCTTGACCTGAATAGAATTGACCTAAATAAGTTGAGATAAGATTGGATAGATACAGGATTAAAAACAATATATGATATACATGGCACAGTTTTTCGTGCCGATTTTCGTGCAGTTCAGACTGCACGTTTCCTGCCTGAAAAATTTTGAGCATGTTCGTAATTTTTCATGCAGAAAGCTGCGAAGCACATCTAGTAGCAAAATTGTTTACTTACCCGACGCAATGGTAATCGGATATTTCGATTTTGTAGTTAGGTGTGTCAAGGTTCGTTTGTGTGACGTGAAATTGTGATAAACTACCTCCCACCCTTATTTTTCTCCTCTATGCCTCTCATGCATAATTCATACTTAAAGAAAGATCACACAGCCTAACGCACGCACAGAAAAATAGCCATTGAAATTACTCGGACAGCCCAATTCAGTTGTTACCCTGTAGATCCCCTAGCGGCGTTTTGTGGCGATTCATACAGATAGCGAACAGATTTTGTATGAGCGACTTAGCGTTTTTATACTCTCATTTTGGGATCTTGAAGTTTCTGAACAGAAACTGTATGAGAAATCTGCACGAAAACTGCACCGTATATACCGGACTTTATACTTCACTTCAGTAATATTTAAAGCATTTTTATAATGCCATCTTCTTTACGAAATTACTAGAATTATACCAGAAATGTTCCCACAAATCCACAAGTGGCGGTTTTGCGGTGAGTGCACGAGATCAGTTGTCAATTTTTTTCTGGTCAGTAATTTATTATCGAACATAAGTAATAATTGAATCATTTATCTGATTATAATTATAATGCGAAAAGGAATATTTATTGAGATATATATTATCTCACGTCCCCAGCGTATGTTGAATACCAAGTAGTAATTATCCCATGTTTATTGCTTGCTAAAGAGAACTCGAATTACAATGTGTTGGCTGTTGTCGATATACGTGTCACTTTCTTACAAATCTCTGAGTGTCTGTGACAATCTCTAATTACATGGCAAAAATACTTTATGAGTCTCTAAAATAATTAGTATTCAGTAATACTCAATGAATTCCAGTAGAAAGCAATTATTTAAAATATTTCATCGGATAAAAGTAGTAACGATTAAGAGTAATCATTGATTGAGAATCAAGGTTTTCAGTACAAACCTATAAAAAGAAGCGTGGACATTTGGACTGAGGAAAG